GCTTTGAGGAGAAGGGTGTACAGCAGTAAGTTGACTTCAGCTATGGTGGTAATTACAGACTAGCAAGAAATTGGAGCCTTTTTTGTCCTCAAGACAAAATGAGAAGTTAGCTGAGCCAGCAGAAGCAGCTGATGGTGCAAGGTAGGTATCTGTGCGAGCTACCTGGCCTCACTGTCAGCAGTGCCATAATGCCTCTATGGCATGCTGCCAGGGTATGACAAACTGTATAGTGGAGAAGCTCCTCTACACATTAGGAATTCAGAATTAGCCTCACACACCTATATGTCTGATGCATTATTAGAGAGAAAAATCTCTCCTTTCAAATCTCTTTTATACGCTTGGATAAAGATAAGAGTGTCCTAGCTGGTGCAAGGCTGACTGACGAGGGCAACAGCAGATTTTGGAGACATTTGCTAGCAGTATTTCCTCAGGCCTTTAAGCTATCCTTCTAAATAGAGTTGACTGTAGTTTAACCTACAGCTAATTTCACACTGTCATTTTAAGGATCTGAGATAACACTTCACATCATCATTTTGAGCACAATTTAATGCACATCTGGCAAATACGGAGATCTTTGTTTTCTGCTGTGTAGCAGTTCTGATGCACCCTTGCATCTATAGAATGCTTTTTTAAGTTTAATATAATAAGAATAGATTAATCTTTTCTTAAACCACACTTTATTAAAAAACATAAGCATTTGTAAATATATAAAATTATAAAGTACCAAGTGCTTCTTGCTTCCCAGTACAGTAGGACTCAGGAGTGGCAGGTAAATTTGGTGTTAATCTGTTCAGTGTGTTAGGCCCAGGGCTGCAGAACTGACCAGCTAGTTTTGCAAAAGACAGCTAATGTCATTCTTCTGACAGATCCAAATTGATCTTGTTTCACCTCAGTTTCAGACCTCCTTCCTGTTCCTTTTGACAAACATCAGTGCTTACTGGTGAGAGCAAGGCTGGAGCTGCAGGGCCTAACAGGCTCCCTAGAAGGATGCAGCTAGGTGTTTTACAAAGGGAGAGATTTCCAGTTGCTTATGTGGAAGAGAATTCAGGCACTGAGAGGGGTCCTCTGTACAGTATTCCTCAGGGAAAGTGCATCCTTTGCTTTGGGATCATCCTATAGCTAGACTGGACAAAGCCAGTCACACGTCCAATTTGCATCAAGTTCCCTTAATCAGCAAGTACTCAGATCCCCTGGCAAGATGCATGGTATGAAGCATCACCAAGTCCCATCTATCTGATTTGTTTACCACTGAAATATTATAGGGTAAAAAGTTCTCAGGTTGTGTATCTAGACCTGAACACCAAAGCAGGACACTGGACTGCTGCGGAAGTACTGTAGCATGAAAAATCCAGTTGTATCCATTGCAATTGTTAGGGTAATTGAACCCAAAATGGGATCTTTTGTGTCACTACCCATCTCTTCTAACACTGAAGAATAGCTGTCAGTTGCAGAGAAAACTGGGAGGTGCTTGTTGATGTTGTTTCTTACTTGGTCTTCCCCTAAAAGCCCCTATCATCTTCAGAAACTTGTGACAGGTCCCTGCATTCTCTAAGTGGTCACCTTTGCCAGTTCTCCTGCCAGCTTCCATCACACCAAGCACTGCCATGTCATTCTCCAAAAAAGTAAGCTGCCCTCTCAATGATCCCCTACAGGAGAGTATGACATGGCCTGGGGAGGGTACACCAGCAGGTTCATTCTTCTTGTGGAAAACTTAAACCACTGGAATTGCAGGAGAAGTGGACAAACAACAGAAGCCCAAGTAAAACAAGCTTATCCTGAACGTCTCAGCATTTGGCACAGAACCAGAAAAGTGAGGAACACTGCCATATTTATCTTCTGCTGCTTAGTGGTATTTTCTTTTACAGGCAGCACTGCAGGCAGAACTCTTATTTTTCTGTTTGTAGGAGAGGACAAAGTGGCTCACAATAACAAACTTGTATGACAGATCCCATGCCTACATTTCCCTGCTGCAATGGAAGGATGCTCTAGCTCCCACCGCCCTTTAGCTGAGAGACACAATTAGCTCCAACCTTACAGTGGAAGAGCTGTTACGCTGAACAAGAACCACAGTCCTTAGACAGTTTTCCAGTAGGTTTGTGATAGGCACGGCTTCCACCCCTCTGAAAGATTCATCCCTGATCCAAGTACATGAAAATGAAAAAAATGGCTAAAATATGATGCTCCTCTCTTCTTTGGCTTTGAATCAAGTCAGCTAAAAATCTCAGTTACCTGCATAGTTGTCCAGTCTCACTTTGACCTTTTTGGCAGCACAACCTTTCTTACAGCCCGGACTCACCAATAAATGCAAGATTGAAGGAAGCACAGCAAAGGTGACCCAGTGACTCTGCTCTGGCCCTTGCTTGTTGTGCAACAGCACCCGGATATCCCAGTGTGCCAGCTGAGCATTTGCAGTTATGGCCCCTGCCCACAGGCCTGAGTCCTTCCTTTACTGGGTCCTTGGCATCCCTTTTTTCGCCTGGTTAGGCTTCAGGGACATCTGATGTTTCTGTATCTTCTGCCTTAACCGAATCACCACTGTTTGTCTCAGCATGGAGCCTCTTGTAGTCAGTGTGGAAGAAGATGACGTAGAAACAAGCCATAGCACTGCAGAGGCCAGCCAGCACCAGTACTGGAGCTGCAAGGAAGACACGCTTTAGATGGCGAATTCATAAGGACAGTGTGCAGCTTGCAGTGCAGCAATGCCAGTTTGGTAACAGCCAAACCCTGTCTCATGTAACACTGGCACAGGAAGATTTGGGTGAAATGAAAGCTTCCAGGACTCTTGTCCTGCATGACCCTACGGGTTGGTGGTCTTACATTAGTGCACACAGTGTGTCTGTGGGAGTGTGTTCCTGTGTATGTGTACACTTTTGTGTGTTGGGGGGTGATGAAAAACATTATAGGAAGGACTGAATCAAAAGACTTGAGCTTCATAAGAGAACAAGTCCACACAGGTAGTGATTCTTGTATCATCTGAGAGCAAAGTGTACAAAAGGTTCACTCAGGATAAACAATCAAAGAAAAAATTGTGTTGAAAGAACCTTTTCTGAAGAAAAAGAAGTAAATCTAAAAGGCTATGCAACAAGGCCTGGAAGTAGTCACATTCTCATTCCAGCAATGTCTCAAATAAACACCTCCACGCCTTTCTCCACAGATGTCCCTGCATGTATCAGACCACAAAGTAAGTAGGAATGGGTACCTAACCATGAGATCCAGCTCTGATCCAATGAGATGGAGAGTTATGGGCTTTCAAACATGTAGCAGTCAAACTGCTTTTTGAGGGCAGTTTCTGTGAAGCCTTGTTCCCTGCCAGCTAGTGGAGCTTGTTCTGGAGAGTTTCTGCTCGGCCAAGCAGGATACATTTAAAAGGTGTTTGTGTCCCCCCAGGACTTTGTGTCATTATTACATAAATATGAACCAGCTGAGAGATCAAGCCCAGGGTTCAGCCTGCAGTGAAAACACATTTGTGCTCCTTTTCATCTCAGTTGCCATCTCTTCTCCAGACCAGCTATGAAAGGAAGGGAAATGAGCAATAAGTCAGAACAAAAATATACCGACACGTTGCAAACCCAGGCAGCTGTGAGTGCAGAAGCCAGGAGTAGATTTCAGTCAATGCATTTGTAGTCTTCGCCTCCCACACTGTGAAGCAGCACTGGCTGTGGTATGTGGAGAGTGTCTTCCCCCCAGAACAGCTGCTTTCTAGTTTGATGAAGCTTAGGTCTCAGCAGGGTGGCCATAACAGAAATTTTAACCCAGAGCCAGCAGCAGCATTCATGGCACCTTAGAGGTCTTCCCATTTCAATCTTGCAGGCCTAGTTTACCCCAGAAGCAGCAAGGAGAGCCCCATCAGGTTGGGAAAGGTGGCTCAGAGATGTGCTACAACAGGCATCAGTCTTGCAGGCTTCCTCACAGTGAGACCTAGAGGAGACTGGTGGGTATGCGGAGTGCAGTTGAGTGTCCAGCATCATTTCCCAAGGTCATACTTACTTGTCCAGTCCAGGGCTCCATCCTGGTCAAGGGCGCAGGTGGAGGATGGATCCTCAGAAACATGCACAGTGAGGGCTTGTAGCAGAATCATTAAAACCACACCTTCAATCTGGCTGTGGGGAGAAGCCGACATTCATTCATGGCGCCTGCCCAATTCATCAGTGCTGCGGACAAGCCCAGGTTCCCCAGTGGGCAGAAAGCGAGGCCCCTTTCTGGAGCAAGGTCCTTCTAGCAGAGAAAGCTACTGCTGGCTTCCTCTGGCCCAGGCGCTTGGTTAAGTGGCCTTGGCTGACAGGGTGTCCAGGCCACGTACATCACTGCTTAGGACTCCAACAAGT